AAATGGCTATCCAACATCTTCTTAAAAAATTCCAGTGTTGGAGCATTCCCAACTTCTGGAGGCAAGCTGTTCCACTGATTTAATTGTTCTAACTGTCAGGAAATTTCTCCTTGGTTCTAAGGACTAAGGCTTCTCTCCTTGATTAGTTTCCACCCATTGCTTCTTGTCCTGCCCTCAGGTGCTTTGGACAAGTTTGACTTCCTCTTCTTTGTGGCAACCTCTGAGATATTGGAACACTACTAACATGTCTCGCCTAGTCTTTCTTTTCATTAAACTAGACAAACCCAGTTCCTGCAACCGTTCTTCATATGTTGTAGTCTCCAGTCCTCTAATCATCTTTGTTGCTCTTATTTGCACTTTTTCTAGAGTCTCATCATCTTTTTTACATTCGTGGAGACCAAAACTGAATGCAGTATTCCAAGTGTGGCTATCACTTTCATGCCATCATTGTTTGCTACTGCTATATCCAGGTATTCACCAGGCATTAAGTTCAATTGAAATGTCTTATTTTTATATTAGACAAGAAGCCAAAATCAAAATAATCACATATTGGCTTAGCAGGATACACAAACCTGACCTATATGTGGGCCCTGAGGTAGAAAAGAAAGAAAGAAATTGTATGGCAACTATGTTGTGTTGTAACTGAAGCTTCAGAGAGCCCCATTTAATCAAATTATAAGATACTGACTAGACCAGTAGCAAACATGATGTGGCAAATATCTTTTTAGTTTTTACACTCCTAGACCTTGTAATGTTTGTAGAGAGAGAGAGAGAGAGGGAGGGAGGGAGGGGGAGAGGGAGGGAGAGAGAGATGCTATCTAAACGTAGTACCTCTATGTCAGTTTAAAACATAAGCTTGATCATTATTGTTTATCATTTTCAGGCCTGGAAAATACATGTGATCTGTTGATTACTACTTTGGCAAAATCTGTTACAACATAATTCTGATGGCTAAGGAAACATAGCTACCGCTGACAAAAGGACTGTTTTTTGATTGGCTGCTGCATTTATCCTTTAACTTTGAAGTAGATGACTCATATGCATTAGGAATTGGGAATGAAAGCATTCTCCAATTAGAAACTAGCTTCTGAAGAGCCTTCTGGTGACTCTCAAATCGTTCATCTTGTCTCTCAATCAAAATCAATCACAGTCTGAAAGGGATTAATTCTGGAGAGTTTCTGGACTGCTTCTTAGTGTTATTTTTCCCTTTTCCAATAATCTCAAAGGCTCAAAGTACGTTGCAGGATTTTCAGCATTTTTGTAATTAATATGATACATGTGGTACTTTAGTGAATAATCAAAAACATTCCATATATGCTGTTAATTGTAATTTGCTCTTCAACAAGGTTCTCAAAGCAGCTTTTGGTTAAGAAATCCTGAAATTTCTATATTATAAAGGATATGGTAGCATGTAGGAGACAGTGGATAATAGGTGCTTCTCTCCAGAGGCAGAAATTGCCCAGTAATTCATACACAACCACTTCAGTTATATATATTTTGAATATATACAGTATATGTCTCCATATTGCATCCAAAAAAAGAGGTTTCATTTTTTTATGTGAAACCATATCCAGTGCTTAAACTGTTTTCTGATTGCAGTGTTTTTATGCCTTAGCTTTTCTCCTGAGGTCTCCATGCATCCATCCCAAACCTTTCATTAAAACAGTGGTTCCCAAACTTGGCAATTTTAAGACTTGTGGACTTCAACTCCCAGAATTCTGGGAGTTGAAGTCCACAAGTCTTAAAGTTGCCAAGTAAGTCTTAAA